ATATATTGCGAACCGTGGTGTCTGTCCGAGTGTTCGTCTATTTCCCGTTACGGCGGCAGTTTCCTGCGCTGCGTTTGTAAAGTTCCCGTTTTTTGCGAATTTTTATAATAAACTTAAGTGTTTTTATGATCATTATATTCACACTTAGCATTTTTATTATTATTCTTTTTTTTCCCTTCTGCATCAGAACCAATCCAAAGTAAGCCTAAACTTACAGGGGAGCACCCAAAGAACACATCTGTAGAGCTTGGGGCAACAGCTACGTTTCAGTGTCATGTAGAGAGTAAAATACCACCTCACATAACGGTGAGCAAACAGCTGAGGTTTTGAAAGTAGTTGCAAGGTTTGATAAGACCTAAGTAAATAAAATAATAATAATAATAAATAAGCATTCAAGAAGTCTATTTAAATTGATTTATATTTAGCAAGGTAGCTTTCGTGTAGTATAATTTTAGACAGTTCTCATGTTTATGTATTAGATTTATAGACAGTGTATTGTTTTTATAAAACAATGCTATTTTATACTGCTGTGCAGTAAAGTATTTCCACAGTGTATAGATATTAGCATGATTTATATATATGCTCCTTACAGTGGCTCCGCCTTCTGGAAGAGAGCGAACTTTCGAGCCAGTCGAACGTAATTAAGCTTCAAGGGCACTACTTCAAGATTCTGAATTCTTCTGTAATACTCAGGCGCTCAGACGGATCGTTTATCAGTAAGATACAGCTCCACGACACTCAGGAGTCTGACAATGGGAAGTATTTCTGTCTCGGAACCAACGCCATGGGCTACAACTTCCGGTCAGCTTTCCTCGTGGTCAGGCCGCAAAAATTACCAGACAATCGCTTTTTGCATCCTCACCACTCTTCGGGTATGTAATGAATTTCTTTGATATTCAGAGGCTCACGAGAGAGAAAAAAATCAATATTTCAATCTAGAAAAATTCAATTAACAAGACTGTTTAATTGTGAGGATCGTGACATTTCAGTTTGGACATTTTCTACCTAATGACCTTTTCGGGAAAGTTCCAACTCTACATTAAAACACAATTTGGCACTTTACAAAATTATTCAGTATTTTGTACATCGCGATTGCTTTCATTCCATAATGCAGCCTTTTATGATTAAAAAGTCAACTACTCCGAACTTTTTAGTTTGAATAATGGTAACTGAAATGTGTATTCATAACTTCAAATTATTTCCAACTGTTTATTTTATGCTAAACACAAAGCTACGGGTACTGAAACCGTTTTATAGCGTTATAAATCCGCAGAGTTCTTGCTGAGCCACTGAGGTCCATTTACAACTGAAAATAAACAAACAATAACTGAAACAAATAAGGAATCATTTCTGATCAAGTATAACTTTCTTGTGAGTAAAGTTTGCACTCAAGTCACTGGCAGCTATTTCACCCGTACTTGTTAATATTGAATTGTTATAGAATCAACGCTTGATGACTTACAATATTCGATCATATCGTTTTAAGCTTTATAATTATTTACATTTTCCTTTCCAGGTAGCTCTTTTATACGGTCTTCATCTTTACCTTTTCCAATAATTATCACTATGGCAATTGTAGCAATAATAGTGTTATTTATGGTAATTATTCTAATTTTCAACTGCCGGAGACGAACAGCTGAAAGACCAGATGGTAATAATGTAAAAAGCCCTTGCACAAGTCCAAAATTAATCCCAAAGACCAGTGTTCCAAAAAACAAAGAAGATTGCCCAACTGCAACTAAGGTTTATTTTTCTAAACATGAACGAACGCTACGATATTCGCAGCCAGTGCTTCGGTGAATGTGTGTACAGATTTGTAGGAGAGAAACACAGATTTATAATGAGACTAAAAGTCCTTCTTGGGGAAGATGAGGAAATACCAAAAATATATGTATCAAGGGGGTCATGATATATTTTTCTATGTTATTGTTTGTGAATTATTATTGTATAGTATATTTTATACATTCGTATATAATACAATAAAGCATTTGAAAAAGTTTTGTTAAGTTTTGCCATATATTTGTCAGGTCTAATATAAAGTATTGCTGATAATTGTTGTACGCTATGTATAATTTTTATATTTATGAGCTTTAAATATAATTTTGCTAAGAATATGTAAAACGTAATATGAGCCATAAATGCTATAGTATATTTGAGCATGCTAGGCATGTTCTTATTTGTTTTGATATTCGTTAAAAAAAGCTGTTATTAGCTTTTGCATTTCATAACGATGATTTTTTTATTAATTTACTCAACTGCACCACCCAGTACATTCTCAAGTTCTAATAATCATGACTGTGTAAACAACATTATGCTGGACTTGAATTAAATTGTGTCCCAGCTCAGGAGGTGATCGAAAAATAATGTGAAATAATTTTTCACCATTTATATGTTGACCTCTAGCGGGGTTTTTATAAGCCTTTTTTACTCATAGTTTATATGTCTGTTGTTTTTTCTCTTGCTCATTTCTTTGATACGATTAATAAACATTATGCCTGAAGTTTGTTCGACTTTGATTACTATTTTAAAATCAGGCTTTACATCTATCAATGTTTTACATTTATTAGACCTTTAGATTTATTTTGTGTCAAGTGGCGTCAAAAAGGTTTTTAACGTTTGGAAAACGAGACACTATCATTTATTATTTTTTTTCGCGGTAGCATCTAACGAATTGTTATATTTGACGCCACCACCAATAACTTAGTTACACTGTATTAGAACATTCATTGTTTAAAAGTCTGGTAAAATAGTGGTATATAATAGTTTTCGTCCACGAGTGTTATTACATTTTACGAGTCAAACACCACGACCAATATGGGAACTGCACAAATGAAGTCAAACGTTTTTCTTTTTGTTACAAATTGTTATTACTTGACCACCACTAAATATTCAGATGACATCGTGTATATAAGGGGAGTCTTATGAAAAATTACATTGATTAATGTTAGGAAGAGATTTATATAATATATATATAAATATAATAGTACTGTCTGTTGTCTGTTATATGTATGGAGGTTCATTAAGTCCATGCGGGGGTACATACAAATTTTCAGTTTTTCATTTTTGTGTTTTTTACCACTATTTCACCCCCTGTAGATGGATCTTCATCAAATTTAGTATGGCAGTTCATTGGTTCCATGGGGAAATACATACAATGTTTCAGTTTCGCATTTTGCGTTTTGCTGTTTCTATAAGCATTTTTTTTGCGTTTTTTTTTTACAACTACCTCACCTCCTCTGGATGTATCTTCACCAAATTTAGTATGGAGGCTCATTGGGTCTATGGAGAGATACATACATTTTGAGTTTTGCATTTTACGGTTTTTATGGGCGCTTTGTACCACTACCTCACTCCCTGTTGATGGATCTTCACCAAATTTGGTATGGCAGTTCATTGGTTCCATGGGAAAATACATACACTGTTTCAGTTTCGCATTTTGCGTTTTGCTGTTTCTAT